TTCAGGATTTGATCCATCCTGGCAATAGTGGAAAGAGGGGCTAATTTTGCGCAGAATTTCTGGACGAAGTTTGGTCATGGGCTGAGATATCACCCCTGTTGGCTCTACAGAAGCATTTGTGTTCACGAGACATCACCTTATTCGGGTATCACTTGTGCGGTACCACCTCTAGTCCCTTAGTACTACTACAAAATTTCTCTGCTCAACACTGCCAAAACCCTCTCCCATAGCGGTGTTCGCAGTGTACTTCCTAAGGGGGGGGGGATGTGAGTAATAGCGATAAGCAAAAGCAATTTTCGGCTCAGTTGGAGGGGCACCAGGTGATGCTCAGCCAGGCCTGCGTAGGCCATGTTGTAAAGACCTGCAAATTCTTGTAACAAACTTGTACCATTTCGCAGCTTCACAAAGGTCCACAGGGCAACAAAGCTAGACGTGTTGGTTGCATGAACTACCAAAAGGTACTAGCGAAAGTGCAAAATGCCCCTCCTAAGCTGGACAGCGCTGGAGGCTTGGACCTAGTGTAGCGCCTTTCGCCTAACCAAGTTTGCTCTGTGGAGACTACGTCTTCTTTGCGAGACTATACGACTCTAGTAACCTGCGCCCTGCACCTAAGACTTAGTTGGAGGAAGGGACAAAGAGGACGCAGCGAAAAAGTCCATAACACAACGCCAGCGCCCAGGACTATGTTCCAATGCCTTGTACTCCTTTTGTTAAGGAAGACAGCCCATAATAGTAGACAATACTCCTCTTCTAGAGAGGGTGGGTTGGGGGAGGGGATGGTAGATGATTGTTCCTTACCCGGAAGTGTGTTAATAAAATAGTACCTTTCTTTGAGCTCTTCGTCTTCTAAAGTCGCCTCTCTCAAAATCGCGAAGGCAAGCCGGGTGCACGGCCCAATAGTGGCCCTAAACGGAAGTGGTCCGTACAAGCAAGATCTCCTAAGCTTCCCTTTCTCACCTTTCCGTTGGCGGCTCGACCAGCCTTTACAAAACAATCGTTCAGGCTGAGATTATGTCTGATGCTGTTTCTCCAGCCGGAACCCCGAGTGCGGAAGTACGGGTAGTGCATCATTATCCACTCGTATACCTGAAAATAAGGTAATTTTTTATTTTTTCCTTCGCTGGCAACTCAGCCGCTTACCTCACTGAGGACCATCTTCTTGTCCGGAGACGACAATATGGCCATAGCGATGAGACCAATGTAGGAATGTTGAGGTTTGGGCTGGTCAAGCATCGGGAACAGGGACGTCGGATCAAAAGAGGTTTCGTGGTGGGATCAAGTCAGATCGTAAAGGGAAACCATATCGTGGCATATCATTGCGATCCAGGCCAAACAGCGCCCGCTGATAGTCGCGTAACGCGTCAGCGCAAAGCCGGTCCATTCCTGGAAGGGACACGTTACGCTTTTAACCTTGGAGGGGGCATTTTAGAGGACTTCTTGTGCAAAAATAAAGTGAGCGTGATGACTGAGGACTTTGTCTTGACCTCAGCGAAAGAAGGTGATCCTGTCGGGACCACGGTGACTCCATTTTTGCACAAGGAATCCTTTGAATGCCCCTTCCAAGATTACAAGTGCCCAATACGGTAGCGTTTCTACAAAATACAGAATAAATACTAGGAAATAAAGCTATACGGCGGTAACAATCGAGGTATTTGGAACAGGCCTGTGACGCTAATGACCCTTACCTCAAACTTTTTTTCAGGATACGGATACATGTGCCATTATGTAGCAATTTAGCCCCAGGCACAAAAAGCCACCATCAACCTATGCCCTCAGTTTGGCTCCAGGATCAAGGGGATGTTAGTAGGAGCACTCGACGTGCTACTAGCAAACCAAGCCACAACCACCCCTTTGGCAGGTCATAGATAATCGTCTGTCAGCGAGAGGAAACAATTTGGCAATGGGTGATAGGCGGTGAGGGCCGCAAATACCTCGACAAACAGGAAAAACCGTTCCCGCTTATTATGTCGAAAATATCCGTATCTGGATGAATGGTGGTTTTTTTTCGTAGAATTCTCGCGAGGAGTGAGTGTTCTGCAGGTTAGGGGCAGGACGCATTACCCCTACAGAGGTGATTTTTTGAGAATGTGAAAATGTGACGTTCCAGTGCACGTCTTGGCTGTTAAACCCTCATGGGGGGGGTGCATTTGGGTGAGAAAGTGGGGAAAAGAATGGATCGGATGGTATTCGGTCTGACGAAATTTTCTAGTTGCTAATTTTCCCTTTTGAAGTATGTTATACATCGTGTTACCACGAAGAGATGAAATGATTTTGGTTGTTGACTTTTCTCGGTCATTCCTGTTTCATGTGAGCTAGACCCCCTGCTCGACGGCAGTTCCTCGAGAAAAAGTGGACGAATTTTTGAAAAGAAAACTCCCGAGAACCGGTGAAGTGGTAGGGAGTTGGGAAAATTCAGGAAACTGATAGGTAGGAGGGGGATGGGTAAGACGGGTCGTAACAGAGCGGTAACCTTGGGAAGGGGTGATCGTATTTTGCCGAGTTTTCCCAAACGGCTCTTTCCGCCTGACAAATCTTGTTGTAGGTGGGGGCCGTATCAAAGCTTTCCAAAATCTCCATGATGATCCCTCTTCCAAATAGGGATGGGGAAGGAGAATGGACATGACATCAACTGTCAGATGTAGTAAAATTCTGATACCAGCGGGAAGGGTAGGGCGTGTCACGCGTTAGGGATCCCAGCAAGGCGGAAGCTTATTTGCTTTTTCTTGAGGAAAATAATGTTTTCGATTATAAACTTTTCTCATATTCCCGTTTCAGCTCCCCTTCCACCCACTGGACTGCAGTATTCTGGGGGAAAATTGGAGATTAACAAATTCTGGAAAAAGGAAAAGGATGTTGGGAGAGGAAGAGTAGTATAGATACGAATTCCAAGGGCTGGACCTTTTGCAGAACGAAGGGAAGGTTTGCGTGAGAGTCGGTACCTTGAAAAAGTGTGCGCTTAGTGAAAGCAAGAATGCGCTTTGCAAACAACTCTGCTGACACCAAGTTAATAAACGATGCTTTGAGCGGTGTTGCACACCAAGGGTGGGCCCGATGCCGGAAAAAAAAGAAAATCCTATCTTATGGCAGCGTCAAAGCGCTGATGTGGCGGGGTTGCCCCCCCCCCAAAGTTGCTGGCTAAGCGATAATTGACGTGTCATTGACGTCTTTTGAGAAACTCTTGACAATGACCGAACCGTCAAGGGGGAGCGGACCTACGCTACATCTGCAGCGGATGTGACAACCGCAGGTAACAATATCCTCTCGCTCCGGGTAACTTTTTACCCGCTTTCAGCACAGCCCTCGAGCGGTCCAAAGGCCCGTCGAAAGCTCAGCCCTGAAGAAAGACAATAGAACGAGAAAGAGAGACCTATTGAAAGGGCAATGAAAGCGCTAATGATTGAAGGAGTAACAAATGTTTTGGCGATTAACACCCAATGAGGCTTTTCCCCCGTGAACTAATACGGGAAGAGGAGGTGTAGGGGTCCATCTAAGTGGGCGTGGCATGTGTCATAGTCCCGAACGCAATCGTATTAGACGAAGAATACGGTAATGAAACGCGGCAATCGCATTGCGACGTCGCGAGTGGCGCTGATCTGCTTTGAGCCGCAGCAAGATGTCCACAGTCTAGCTACTCGCCCGTCTGTTGCTTCGAAATCGCACCACAAAGAACTCGATGAAAGCGCCACATTCTTTGCACCTCACAAGATTCACCTAAAAATTTCGCCGCTCGCCTATCTCCGATGGGTTTCCTCTTTAGTACTCTTACGCCGCGAAACTTTGAACTTCCAAAAACGGAATACTTCAGGGCGCTGGCGCTGTTCGCCCTCGAGGAGAGGGGTGGGGGTTGGCATTATGGATCCATCGTGCTTGAAATTGCTACTAGCGCTAGATAGTTTTCGGCCAAAGCAGTTGACTAAGCCCTTGGTTACTGCCGCTCCCCCCCCCCCACCACTTTCTGTGAGCGTGATCAAAAATCTCTATTTTCTTGCTGAAGCGTGGCCTCAAAAATCTCTACCCTTTTTCGCGAGTCGACTGTCATGGCGATGTTGGTAGCCCAAACAGTCCGCCGCCTCGCTTGACACACCCCAAGCCGAATTCAGTGATAACAAACTGCCATCTCCCATTACCGGTAATCCACGAGGAGTCTCTTGAGTGTCCCCCCCCCCCGAAGGTTATAAGCTTCAAAACAACAGAGGGTTTTTCTACATGAAAAATAAGACGGTGGATGAGAAAACAAAGAGATACAAATGGCGAGACGCTGCCACGCCATTGTTTTTAGTAGATTGATACATGTCGTGAAGAAAGACGTTCCCAGTGGCCAGAGAGTACTGCCCTGTGCGCCCAGATGCCTGGGCGCCGCGGCGGTGGGCTGGATTTGGCATGGCGCCATACCTATTCCCCACCAATTTTTGGAAGCTAAGCTGACGACATAGCTGAGTAAGAGAAATAGGCTGGCGCCGCGCCACAGGCCCAATCCACGCGTCCAAACGAAAAAATCGTTAACTACCTTGCCCCGCGCTAGAGGCCTTTCCACCTGCAGTTGTGCAGCGTCGAACGGCCCGTGCGATCGCCGCTCAGCTTCCCCCACTCAGCAGGCCCCCCGAATTGGCTGCCAGCAGTTGCAAAAGCTGGGCAACGAACGTTTTGGCCTTCACACGAAAGAGGTGGTTGGACGACACGGTCTATCTGGCCTAAGAGGGATAACAACAACTGGCATGCTTTGCACGCTGTTTTTAATTCTTTTTTTCCAGGTCCGTCAAACCATTAGCCACTATTCGGCTTCGAGGGGCATTTTGCGCTTCCGCTAGGTCCCTTCTGTTGGTTCTGTGTTAACAAACAGGCCTGACTTTTTGTCAAACCCTGTACTCCTGTGAAGCTGTGAAGTTTTGGGAGTGGTAAGCGGGAGTTTCGGTCACCAGGACGGCTGAACAGGTTTTTGCGAAGCGGGCTTGTTCAAGCTTACATGAGTAGAACTCGGGTTACCCACGAAGCCGAACTGATTGATGGCCGAATTGAATGTTCATAAGAGCTTCAGCCTCACATGGACTGGACAATCACCCTGATTTTGCAGCTTCAAAAAGTTTAAACCAAACTATAAGTCTTTGCTAACAACTGACAAGATTTATCGAGTATCTTAGGTGTTCCTTAAGCATTTAACAATCGATCTAAATCGTTTTCAAGCATTTTCCCTGATGAAGCGGCTTGTTAATGCCCGCTACTGGTACTGCCTGCTCCACCTTGTTGGGTAGATGCATCCGAATCAGAACGTACAACAGGTTTTGGTGGCTTCTGAAAGGTGGTCACGTCATCCAACACATCTTATTCTGGCATCGTCCACTGTTAATGTGAGCGGAGTCAGGCCTTCTGCTGTGCCTGGCGCGCTTCTGTTCCTCACAGTATCTCCGAGAAAGGATCACTGAAATACCAGGCCTGACTCCGCCCAATACAGTTACTGTAGACAAGGCCTGAAGTAAGAACCAAAATGTAACCTACGTGTTGAGGATTTCTGAGGAATTTGTTTAGTTTTCCTATTCGATTACGGAAGCGGATCACGTCAGAAATCGTCGGTGAACGGCTTCTTCGCTGTGGTGTCAAATAAGAATGAGCCGAACTGGAGCGAGCATTGGGATACGGTATCGACGACGTGGAGCTGGTATGAGTGAGTGAGATGAGATTTGATCCCAAACATGACGTTGCCGATGCCGCCTTAGTGGCTATCAGTTCACTGCGACTGATGATCGTTGACGCACGGGTTACCGTTGGCTCCGAGCGGGTAAGACGTCTGCAAAAAATTTTTTACTAGCCGCGATAGTGACTAGGTCACCTGAAACATGACAGCGCATGACTGGGTAGAAATGGCGTGCTGCGTACTCCGCTTTTGAGCATGAACCTAAAAGCATAGGGTTCCTAAAGCTCGTTCTCCGTTTTTCTTGAAACAACTGTTATCTTGCCTTGTAAGGGTCAAAGACATGATCACATTTGTTCCAAAACGGTAGTATCCCTTCAGAAGTGCAGCCACTACCGCCTTCAAATAAGTACGAAGCCACGCCCTCTCCATCCCCGGATATACACCTTATTCCACTGCGCTTGGTACCACTGCATGTAAAGTTTGTAGAAAAGCCATTTTTTGATCAGTATGTCAATGAGCCCTAGAAGAAGGGCGGGCCATCAAGAAGTGTGTCACTTACATTGGATTGAATGGACGCCCTATTCCGGCGATTGGTGAAATGGTGGATGTCACACGGAATTTCTTATCATCTCCAAATTTGTCCTAAAAACAGCCAGGGCGATTCTATGTGAAGTCACTGGAGCGCTCAGATGAACGAGGGGCTCACCGGACGAGCAAGTCTCGAAATGATCATTCTGGCCAAGTCTCGAGTGGCTTTGTCAGTCTTGCCAGGGTAAGGCGTGAACGGAGGACGAAGCCGACCTGTAACAGATGCTTGCATGCTATGAGTTTGAGGTTCTTGTCTGAAAAACATACCATCAACAGCTCCCGCACGTTCGTCACTGGCTTGAGCTCCGGCGTCGCTCTCTCTGAAGAAGAATATTCAAGCGTAAACCACGCTGACCATGTGGGCGGAGTCAGGCCTGACATCGCGCTTTCCTCATCGGCTCGCTCTTGTCGCCTCAGGAAGGCGTGATGGTAGACCTGATATCCCCTCATGGCTAGAAGGCAACCGACATCTGTGACTTACTGATCAGGAGTACGTAGGAACTTCGGACGGGTATCTTTTTTGTCAACAGGGTATTTCTCGGGCACAATACCGTATTGTTTTCGTAAACGCTCATTGAAGACCACTGATCTTTTCAGAATTTCTTCACAATGAACCAACCAATCGGGATCAAGATAGTTGTCTGGATAAAAAACC